TGGGTACCTACTTTACCTCAGGCCCTGTTCTAGGAGCTGGGGATACAATGGTTAAAAGTACAAAGACTTTTCCCTCTGAGGTTCGATTTCTAATTGGAAAGGAGAAACAAGTTTATAATCTGTCAGAGCAATTGACGGTAAGAGGGAAAAATGTAATGAGGATGAGGGTGGACTGCTTGCTCCACCCACCAAAATCCTAGGCATCTTCACACTCAAACTCTTCCACTCAGTTTTTTCAGATTTTCATCCTTCCAGATCATTTGTTCTTTTCTCTGAAACACTTCAGTACTGTGGACCATGCATAAGCCTCTGCTGTTTAACTATTTCACGGCAGGACTGGGCTTGTCTCACCCTACAGCAAGCCTCTGAGGGCACTACGCCAATCTCAGGCAGCTGCGGTAGGGTGAGCTGGCAGCCCAGGCTGAACAGGGTGAGCCGGCAGCCCAGGCTGAAGAGGCACACAACGCCTGCTGACTGCTAGGTCAGCACTGCCACTTTACAACTGCAAATGCATTCTTAAGCTTCTTTTTCCCCAACACCACGGACTTGAATTTTCAAGGAACATAAAAAAGAAGAAACAAATGAACAAAGTAATTCCACAGAGAACCAAATGTTTGGTTTGGATTTGGGAAGAAGGAAGGATGGCCAGGTGAAACAGGTGTTTGCAAGAGGTCATCTTAAGCCAAACACTAACTATTCGAGGCCGAAGAGATGGGGCGGAAACAAAAGGAAGAGCATCAGGCCTAAAGTCTGTGCCAAAAGGGGACAGATGAGGGTGTACGAGAGAGAAGAGGAGACCCAGAGTTCCTCTTCCTTTTTATAAGCAGAAAATGTGCATGTCAGGGTTTCTTTTTAACCATCAAAAGGCCTGAGAACCTCTACATGGTATCAGCCATACTTCTAATATTGACAACTGAGAAAACACAAAGACAAAAAGGTTCTGCGACATGCATGCGCACAGCAGCACCATTCACAGCAGTCGAAAGGTGGAAACACCCAAACGTCCATCCAGGAATGAAAGATCTAGCAAAACAGTCTGTCTATCCATACACCAAACAGTGACTCAGCCATAAAAGGAGTGAAATAATGACACATGCTACAACATGGATGAACCCTGACACACTGTGCTAAAGTGAAAGAAGCCAGAAACGGAAGGGCACATTTTGTCATGATTCCACTTATACGGAGTATCTAGAAGAGGTAAATCCACAGAGACAGAAAACAGATTAGTAGTGGCCAAAGGCTGGGTGGTAAAAGAAGGGAGTGACTATTAATGGGTACAGGGTGTCCTTTTGGATCCATGAATATGTTTTGGGACTAGATGGTGGTGATGGCTCTGACTGTATGAAATGCCAAAGAACCATACATTTTAAAATGGTTTAATGACAATTTTTTGTGTGTATTTTATCACAATAAAAAAAAAGTACTATGAATGGATCAGAGACCTGAATTTAAGTCATGAAACTATAAAACTCATACAAGAAAACATAGGCAAAAATCTCTTGAATATGAACATGAGCAACTTTTTCCTGAACACATCTCTTCGGGCAAGGGAAACAAAAGCAAAAATGAACAAATGGGACTACATCAAAATAAAAAGTTTCTGTACAGCAAAGGACACCATCAGCAGAACAAAAAAGCACCCTACAGTATGGAAGAATGACTTAGCCAATAGGGGGTTAACATCCAAAATATATAAAGAGCTCACATGCCTCAACACCCAAAATACAAATAACTCAATTAAAAAATGGGCAAAGGATTTGAACAGACTTTTCTCTAAAGCAGAAATTCAGATGGCCAACAGGCACATGAAAAGATGCTCCACATCACTAATTATCAGGGATAATGCAAATTAAAAGCACAATGAGATACCACCTCACACCAGTTTGGATGGCCAACATCGAAAAGACAAGGAACAACAAATGCTGGCAAGGATGCGGAGAAAGGGGAACCCTCCTACACTGCTGGTGGGAATGTAAGCTAGTTCAACCATTGTGGAAAGTAATAACGATGTTCCTCAAAAAACTGAAGACAGAAATACCATTTGACTCAGGAATCCTGCTCCTAGGAATTTACCTAAAGAAAACAAGATCCCTGAATTAAAAAGACACATGCACCCCTATGTTTATCGCAGCACTATTTACAATAGTCAAGATATGGAAGCAACCTAAGTGTCCATTCATACATGAATGGGTAAAGAGGATATGGTACATATACACAATGGAATATTATTCAGCCATAAGAAGAAAACAAATCCTACCATTTGCAACAACATGGATGGAGCTAGAGGGTATTATGCTCAGTGAAATAAGCCAGGTGGAGTAAGACAAGTACCAAATGACTTCACTCATTTGTGGAGTATAACAACAAAGCAAAACTGAAGGAACAAAACAGTAGCAGACTCACAGACTCCAAGAAGGGACTAGTGGTTTCCAAGAGGAAGGGAAGAGGTTGGGGAGGGAGGGAGAGGGGATTAAGGGGCATTATAATTAGCATATACAACATAAGTAGGCCACAGGGAAAGCAGTATAGCATAGAAATGACAAGTAATGACTCTATAGCATCTTACTATGGTAATGGACAGCAGTTGCAATTGGGTGGGGGTGGAGGACTTGGTAATATGGATGAATGTTGAAACTACAGCATGGCTCATGTGCAACCTTCATAAAATTGTATATCAATGATACCTTAAATAAAAAATATATATATATCCTTATGGAAAAACTCTTACAAAGCAATCAATAAATGATAAATAACCCAATAAAAAGATTAAGAATAAAAAAAAGGTACTATGAATTGAGTAACCTTGAAAATAAATTTGTATCTTTCTAATCTCTAAGATGTAAACTGGAGAACAGGAACTATCAACACTAAAGAATGAAACCACAAATACCTATGCAAACACTTGTTCACTCCCAATGCTTGCTATGAACATAAGACTTTCAGAATTGCTGCACAGCTGTAGCTAATAATGACAATAATGGCAAATACTGATTAAACTAGACACTGCTTTAAGGGCTCACATTTAATCCTGTGAGATAATTAGCCCCATTTTACACAAGATGAAACAAGCACAGAGAAGGCAGGCAATCTAAGACTGAAAGGCCAGCAGGTGGCAGAACCTCAGAATTTGAATATGAAACCACTCTAGTTTCCAAATGTATTTTCCTAGCCCCAGCTGCATGGGTGTACAAGGCAGAGCTTCCTCACTGGGGCCACCATTCTCTCTTTCACTATCTATCCACCTCAGACCCCATTCCACCCAGGGATCCACCGGCTCAGCCTTTGCGCGTGCAGCGCCTTCCATCTGGAGCACCCATCTACAGTGCTGTTGTCATGCATCCTTGAGGCAGGCAGTGCCTTCTCTTGTCCCCGATGACCAGGTTGGGGCGGAGAAGGAGTAAAACCGAGGACCTCCAGGCCTCCTGCATAATCTGCCTTAACTCTTCTTTCCACTTGAATTCATGACTGAAAACACTGAGCACCCATTTTAGCCTGAGAACACCAACAGAGAACCACTCATGCCCCCAGCAAAACCAAAGGTGCCTTGTACTTGGCTAGAGAACAACAGGATGCAAAGCGATGAGCTGCATGATTAGACTGTTCTGTCTGACCGGCACAACTTCTTCAAACACTGACAATACAATCCGAATGCCTTCCCTGGGGCACCCAATCCCAGTGTGCCACACTGCTGCTCCAGATACGTAACGCTATCCTGACCTGGCTGACTCACCCATTACTCATTCTCAGTGACTTTTCTTCCCATCACCATTCTCTTACATACAGTAAGTAATGGTTGGAAAAGATACCAAGTGAAATAAATGGGAAAAACAGACATTTGAATGTTGCTTTTAAAACAAAACACACATTCATTTTTAAGGATTAAAAAAGTCCTATATAATTTCAAAGGTGGAAATATCCCTAAAGTTGAGGTAACTTCAAAGCAGCACAACTAAAATGTAAGCACTTCTATGCCAAGGGTTCCTTACCAGCACTCACTTCTAATCCAGGAGGCACCCTCGCCTAGCAGAGGGTCACTGCTGGCAGTTCCAACCCCAGTGATTTCTGAGAAAAGGTCAAGAGTTTTGTTTTAAAAGGTTTCCCTTTAAATTTTAACAGTGAAACCAGACATGCAGTGTTTGGGTTATTTCTGCTCAACTTACAACATTACTCAGGGAATAAGCACTGAGAATGAAATGGGAGGGCTATGAAATGAAATACAGTGCTGAGTGAACCTGCTGTGCTTTACTATGACAAGACCAGGGGTAAGCCTGTTACTCCAAAACTCTGGCTCTCTTCACAAGCCTGGGAGGGGGGAGGTCACTGGTTGTCGTAACATGAAAAGAGGCCACAAGGGTCCCACAAAACCAAAGCAGTACCCAGCGCACTATGAGAAGAGCTGAGCTAATGTTTATAAACTGACAAAGTAACACAGGGTCTGAATTTGAAGAGGGTGGGGGAGAATAAAGGTCTTTTACTCTGGGGGAAAAAATTTTCTTTTATTAAGTCAAAAGCCTAGAGTACAAATATTCACATTGAGTAAGAATCAAAACAGAAAACTACGTAATATTAAGTTGAGATATTCTACCATCAACCATTCTCCACAAATGGCAACTTAACTATCTGTAATATTTGTAAGTAAATTAAATTTTTGCTTTTTCATTCACACTACAAAAGTATAATTGACCCACATTATCTTCAAAAGCTCAAGGAAGAATTCTTTTGTAAAATGATGTTAGCGCTGTCTCCCCGCCCCAAGTGAAAACAAACCTCTACATATCCCTGGTTCGCTGGGATTTCTTAAGTCACTTGTGCAAAGGTTAGATGCGCACACATGAACAAATCACCCTTTCTCCTACCCTCTGGTCTTTTGGTGACACAGACCCAGATCCAAGCTCTAGTCTCACTTCAGTGTAGAAATGCAGGCCACACAAGAAAGAAAATAATTTCTCAATGTAAGATGCAAAAGGTCAAAATGGCAAGTAGTACATGCTACTTACTGCTGGTTCGACTTGACTTCGATCTGCAATATCTATGTGGACAATTTCAACAGTTTTCCATGTGTTCGGATCTAAACCATGTACCTATAAATGACAAAGAGAAATGAAATAAAACAAACTATAGACTATTTTTGTTAGACAAAACTATTTTACTAACATGTCTAATCTTTATTGTGAGTCTCTCAGATTATATTATGAGAAAAAAATCCAGATTGCTATTTCATTAAATTAGCTGTCTGAAGTTTTGAGGGATCTAGAATAATCTTTTTTAATCCCTTAAAACCCCAAATAAACGGGGTAGGGGTGAGGATGCTGCCAAATTAACAGAAATTTGTCCCCATTATTTTCTGGCAGTCTTTAGAGATGATTTATGTAACAAAATGTACCTCATCTGTGTTTAACCCAAATGATATACAACTAAGTCTCCATAACCTCTAGATCCTAGAAAAACAGAAAGAAACAGTATAATTACGTTTCAAGAAGAGGTGCTGCGGTCTAAAACCTCCCCTGAATTTGATATCTGAAAGATCTTCAGTTTTAGTATGACGCCAACTCCCTTATATATTACATTGTTCAATCACTTACTTCTGAAACTCAATCTATGAAGCAGTTAAGAACTGTTTAAAAACTGCCAAAGATATGCCCATTTCAAAGTCAGAAATGGCAGATTCACACACAGACTAAAGCATGCCAAATCATCTCATTTAGACTCTAAATTTTAGAGTTACTATGAAAAAAACAATATGAAGTGTCAAATTATCACCTGGAAGAAAAACTCAAGTCAAATACTGCAATTATCATTCAGAAGTTCTATTAGTTGGCACCAGTAACATAAAAGCAGAGTTAAAAAGAGACTCCATGGTAATCACAATTAACCTACTTCCCTATGACAGAGGGTCATAAGGTTGGAACAGTTGTTCTAAAACTGGAGCACACACCAGAAAACAGAGATTCTAACTCAGTAGGTACAGGTTGGGGCCTGAGAATTTGCACTTCTAACAAATCCCAGGTGCTGCTAGCCCAGGGACCACAGTTTTGAGGACCACTAGGCCAAGGATATCGCCCTATACCAGATGCTCTTCTAAGTTCCCTGACGAACCTTACCAAAAGTTAATGATTACACTGAGTCCTGATTTTCCTGAAATTTATTTTAGCGATAAAAGTGCACCAATTTGTAAAAATCAGGAACTTGTCACCATTTCTAACCCGTGTACCTATAAATGACAAAGAGAAATGAAATAAAACAAACTATAGACTATTTTTGTTAGACAAAACTATTTTTGTCTAAATATTCAAAATATTCAAAATATTATCTCCTTCCTGCCTTTTGGCCATTTCTCTGACATCAACCCATATTCTAGCAAAGAGGAATGGAGGTGAAAATTAAGCCATCAATTTTGCTATGTACAGCAGTTCTAGCAAATACAGAGATGAAAAGATGAAAGAAACCTAAAATTCACACTAAAACTGGTTTGGGAATTATCAGTGAACTTTATCTATGCTCTCCCTGCCCCAGCTAAAGAAAGCAACCTCCCCAAAGTACACTCCACATACCCCAGTAAAGGGACTGATGGGGAGAGCCCATCTGTTTCTGGATGCTGGCTCGCCACCCTACTGTCTGACACACCCTGGTGTGGCCAGGTACTAGTCTAATGCAGGTGGCCTCAATTAGGTGACGACAAAATGAACTACAGTTATCCCCATTTTCTGCGCTGAAAGCCGAGTTGAAACTTACATTTTCTAATGTTCCCAAGTCTGGTTTGTGCCATGTTTCAATTTTAATGAAGAAATCATCTTTCATATATTCATTCTGCAGAAAACACAACAGCAAAATGACAGTGATCTTTCTCCCGTTCTTTGGGGCACATGTTGGCAGGAGCCTGTCCCAGCATAAGTATCCATGCTTTGATCACAGGAAAACTGATCCTCAAGTGACAAAACATCATTAGCTATCTATTTTTACAGACTTGTCAGGCCAACCGAATGCTGTATGCTTTTAAATAATTTAAAGCACCCTACTTGTCATGCAGCATATAGGGCTAATACTAAAGAAGCTGTGAGGTTTGGTGAGCAAACCTGGCATTCAGAGGAAGTAACAGAAGCAAAACAGAGTCAATAGGGAGATTCTGAGACAAAAGTGCAAAGAGCCCACTAACATCGGGAATGTGAGGTAGAGTGTGGGCTGGTGGCAGCAGCACCAAGGGGGAGCCATGCAAGGGTGGGCAGTCTTAATAAAAAAGCAAGGAATGGATGAAAGTAATTACCATGTAAAGCAAAGTTTAAAGATGAAGAGTATGTGACATAAAAATAGTTTTACTCACCGTTACAACTGAGACACAATGGACAGGCAAGCAAAAAAGGGGGAAAAAATGTCAGAATATTAATTAGAGTCAAAAAAATCTGTCACAATATTTAATGTCACAAAGACCAAACTGCCTGAAAACAGAACATTCGGTAATTTATGTCTGCAAAATGCAATTTCTACACAGGTGACACTATAGGATACTTTAGGTTATGCAGTCAATAATCTTACAATGATGATAAAAGGAATAATGTCATAAAAGCAAAACAGGAAACTGTTTCAGAAGTCTGTCACATTCCTCCATTATTATAGGACAATGTAAGTAAAATATTGTTGAAACTATACTCAAAGACGCTTCTGAGTGTGGATGACCTTTAAAGTTCCTGCATTCATTTGCTCGCTCTTGGAGACTACAGTCAGCCAAGGTACCGTGAGGTGGGAGTGGACCCATGCCCCTCACAAAGGTCTAGGGGGAGGAACCCAGTGCGGTCTCCCCTCTGCCACAGCTCGTGCAGTGACGACCCAAGAATCCACAGAAGGCCCTGTGTGGTGTCACCCTTCCCAAATACATTGGCACTGGGAGTCCCTTTCCTCTTCAGCAGTGGAGGAGAAGGGTGGGATGGCTGCCAGGAACCAGGCTTACTTGTCCGACAATAAGGGTATGCGTTCCAGGCTTTCTCATGAAACACCAAGGAGCCCTCAGGAGCAATCATCCTCACAAATGCAGGAACTTTGCTGCGAGGAGAGAAATACAGGATATATTTTTCAACAGCACCCTCACTTTTTTGTTGGCATCTGTAAGACTGCTTCAAAGAGTACTATAATCAAAGGTGATTATGTACTAAGCTTTATGAACTTGTGTTTAAGACTGTTACCAACAGTTTTATTTTCAATCCCAAAATAATCAAGTGGAAAATATAAAAACAACAAAATGATTAAGAGTATGTTGAACCACATACTAGATTTTTAAAAAAAAGCAATTCTTTCTTACAGGCCTTTGATCTACTCCCCTAATGTGGAATGTATGAGTTAACTGAAGCTATTCAACCTGCACATACTACAACAGAGAGGTGCTCTTGTATATCGGTCTACACTACATTATTTTTCCTCATAATTATGTAAAAGTGGTTTTATTACTTTTAAAACTTATTGACGTATCTTTGATATGCAATCTTATATTGGCTTCAAACATACAACACAGCGGTTCAAGTTACCCACATTAAATCCTCACCGCCACTAGTGCAGTTACTATGTCAACACACCTCAACAAACAAGAAGCAAATAATCCAATTAAAAAATGGGCAGAGGAGCTGTATAGACAGTTCTCTAAAGAAGAAATTCAGATGGCCAACAGACACATGAAAAGATGCTCCACATTGCTAATCATCAGAGAAATGCAAATTAAAACCACAATGAGATATCACCTCACACCAGTAAGGATCGCCACCATCCAAAAGACAAACAACAACAAATGTTGGCGAGGTTGTGGAGAAAGGGGAACCCTCCTACACTGCTGGTGGGAATGTTAATGAGTTCAGCCATTGTGGAAAGCAGTATGGAGGTTCCTCAAAAAGCTCAAAATAGACATACCATTTGACCCAGGAATTCCACTTCTAGGAATTTACCCTAAGAATGCAGCAGCCCAGTTTGAAAAAGACAGATGCACCCCTATGTTTATTGCAGCACTATTTACAATAGCCAAGAAATGGAAGGAACCTAAGTGTCCATCAGCAGATGAATGAGTAAAGAGGATGTGGTACATATACACAATGGAATATTACTCAGCCATAAGAAGAAAACAATTCCTACCATTTGCAACAACATGGATGGAGCTAGAGGGTATTATGCTCAGTGAAATAAGCCAGGCAGAGAGAGACAAGTACCAAATGACTTCACTCATATGTGGGGTATAAGAACAAAGAAAAACTGAAGGAACAAAGATGTTACAGAATCATTTACTATATTCTCCATGCTGTATTACTGTCCCCGTGACCAACTTCGATTGAGAATTTTTGTGCCCTTTTATCCCCCTTGCCCTCCCCACCTACTTACTTATCCTCCCTAACCCCTCCCCCATGGCAACCACCAGTCACTTCTCAGTGTCTGAGTCTAGTGCTGCTTTATTCACTTTTTGTTTTTTTTTTAGATTCCACAAGTAAGTGAAATCATTTGGTATTTGTCTTTCTCCGCCTGGCTTGTTTTACTTAGAATAATACCCTCTAGATCCATCCATGTTGTTGCAAATGGCAGGATTTTTTTCTAGGGTTGAATAATATTCCATTGTGTATATGTACCACATCTTCTTTATCCATTCATCTACTGATGGACACTTAGGTTGCTTACATACTTTGGCTATCATAAATAATGTGGCAATAAACACAGGGGTGCATATACCTTTTTGAATCAGGCATTTTGTTTTCTTTGGCAAAGTTCCTAGAAGTGGAATTACTGGGTCAATTTACATTAACACCAACAGTGTAGGATGGTTCCCATTTCTCCACATCCTCATCATCACTTATTTTGTCTTTTGGATAGTGGCCATTCTAACAGGTATGAGGTGGTACCTCATTGTGGTTTTGATTTGCATTTCCCTGATAATTAGCTATGTGGAGCATCTATTTTTACATGTGCCTGCTGGCCATCTGAATTTCTTCTTTGGAGAATGTCCGTTCAGGTCCTCCACCCATTTTTTAATCTGGTTTTGTTTTTTTGGTGTTGAGGCGTGTGAGTTCTTTCTTTTGGTTGTTAACCCCTTACTGTATGAATCATTTACGAATATATTCTCCCATACTGTAGGATGCCTTTTTGTTCTGCTGATGGTGTCCTTTGCTGTACAGAAGCTTTTTAGTTTGATGTAGTCCCACTTGTTCATTTTTTATTTTGCTTCCCTTGCCCACGAGACATGTCCAGGAAAAAAACTGCTCATGCTTACATTCAAGAGATTCTTGCCTATGTTTTCTTCTAAGAGTTTTATGGTTTCATGTCTTACATTCAGGTCTTTAATACATTTTGAGTTACTTTTGTATAAGGAGTTAGACAGACAGTAATCCAGTTTCATTCTCTTCCATGTAGCTGTCCAGTTTTCCCAACACTGGTAAATGGAGAGGCTGTCTTTTCTCCATTATATATCCATGGTTCCTTTATCATTTATTAATTGACCATATATGTGTAGGTGTATTTCTGGGCTCTCTATTCTGTTCCACTGATGTTTGGTTCTGCTCTTATGCCAGCACCATACTGTTCTGAGTACTTTACACTACACTGTTTCTTAATGCAAAAAAAAGAAGCTCCAAAATAACAAAGTATCTCTGAATTAAAGTTTAATATATTTTACAGAATAAACCTAAAAGAAAAATGGTGATGTGAAGGACCCATGTAGAAATGAGACTTTAAAACATGGTCAAGTATAAAATTCTGTAGGTTGGGAAGATGAATTTCGCTTGCTGCCTGAAGTATGGTCAGAGGAGAAGGGTTAAATATGTAATTAATACACTATGAGTTTGTGCAAATACATGATGAGAAGAGACCCTAAAAGATAAATGGGCAAAGGACATCCGTACATGACAAACAGAAAACACAACTGGTTTATAAGAATATGGAAAAATCAGTCTAACCAGTCTTCAAAGAAATGAAAATGAAATGAATGTTTTTACTGATTTGAGCCCACTGTAGAGAAAAGTTTTATGCACAGGCTTTTCAGAGACTGGATTCAAAACTCAACATCATCATTTAGAAGCTGTGTGTGTGACCTTGGGCATAATACTTGGCTCTCTGAACTTCCTCATACGTTGAATGAAGCTCATGTTACCACACAGAGTTCCCGAGAGGATTCAATCAGATCATATCTGTAATGTGTGATTAGCACACTGCATAGTGTAAGCGCCCAATGAACGGTAGTCATTGCTTTTTAATTAGTAGCTGACAAGGAGCTAGGTACTTCCACATACCTTTCTTCAGTTAAATCTCCCAAAAGCACTGTGAGGTAAGCACTAATTTATTATTTCATATACCCAGCATTTAAGTGGCTCAATGACCATATGCCAAACTATATTCTCCAACTTCAAGCCCTGTGCATTTTTTTCCACATCAGAGCTGCTTCTCTGAGGCATTTCAAGCACAACTTAATTTCCTAAATTAAGAGAAGAACAAAGGAAACTTGGGACCCAGAGAGGACTTCTGGCCCCGTAATATGATTAAGCAGTTGGAGACATTCCCATGCTGAATTTGGGAGGCTAAGCAAGGCAGATGTGACGAACCCCAGGCCAGCCAGAGTAGCTACAGAAAGGCAGTATGGATGGCCCTTTGTGGTCTCCTCAGAACACAGGAATGGGTATATGGTTTGGAGCTTCCCCCACTGAGGCACATTCAACCCTGGCAAAGAAAAGCTGAAGAACTGCTATCGCAGACAGGAGGAAGAGTGAGAGTCCAAGGGCATCACGATATTTACCTGTGCTGCTGTACAGCCTCAGAAGATAAAATGAAGGAGGGCTAATTCTTTGAGCGCTTACTCTTTTCAAATCTTGGTAAGATTCATGTTTCGGAAAAATGAAGCCAAGGTAACTGAAAATACTATCAACTCTGTCATAGTGATACAGGAAAACAAAGGACTTACAAGGTTTAAGAGAGAGATAACAAATTACTGTAATGTACACTGAACTTCTCCTGTCCCAAGAGCATCATTTTTTTTTTAAACCCTGTTCCTGATAATACCTTGGCAAATCATTTCAAACTGTACTTTTCCCATGAAATTTTTACATCTATTTATAAACAAATGAGCAAAACTATTGTTTTCCATCCTTTTCAATCCTGTGGATACACATCAAAACATAGGAAAACATGAGGAATCTGAAGACAAGATTAACTGCCATAGATAAAGTAATCTTCCACGTTATAACCAAATGAAATACACCTTAAATACATTAGGTACTTCATTCATTCACTCAAGTATTTACTGAGTGTCCACTGGGCGAAGGACTGTGTAAATAACAGTATGTAGCACACATGTAATTCCTACTCGGTGCTTTCCTTCCAGGAATGGAAGCAGAAAACAGCAGCAAACAATAAGGCAGAGAATTTTACCTCCTGAAGTGCAATGAAGTTAAGGAATAGCACGGGGCAAGTGAGTAGGTGGGGCAAAGATGCCCAAAAAGGCCTCCCTGACATCCAACAGAGCTTATAGGCGAAAGGTCCTAAAAGTGCAAAAGACTTGGCATGTCTGGACCATTCTGAGGCCTGCAGTATGGCTAGACTAGAATGAGCAAGGACAGAGGGATGGACACAAGGTGAGGATCATGAGGTGGGCACACAGATCACACTGGAGCCCATTTTACAGTCCAAAGAGTTTGAACTTTATTCTTTGTAAGATGGGAAGTTACTGAAGGTTTTAAGGGGAATGATACAACTGATTTAAGTTTTAAGATCATTCTGGCTTTGTCACTCAAGTAAAATGGAAATTAACTGGAGTGGGCAAGAATGGATGGAGGCCAAACATTAACTCAAAGAGGATTAAAGGACTAAATATGAAAGCTAAAACTGGTATTAGAGATCAGGCTGGAAGCAACTGGAGAACTCAAGAGAGAGAGAGTGGTAACCTGCATTAATGTAGTGGCAATGGAGATGGAATAAAGAAAGAAGACACGGAGATATAAGGGGAAAAACTGCAAAATCTTTTAAAATTCCAACTTGTGGAACAGGAATAAAATAACCAGACACAAGTTGGCTAACTTCTAGGAGCT